TGTATCTTGCACGATCATGTCATGGGTGTCGAACCACGTGATTACATCATGAGGCAATTTGAACGAGAGGACCACACATTAGAAAGCGAAAGAGTAGATGATGATGATGAGTGTGATGATGAACAAGAAGCACCACAAATCTCTATGCCTTCTCAACGTGCAAGTAGAAATGCAGAGTCTAGAGATGGAGCTCTTCTACGTGAAACCATTGCAAATATGATGTGGAATGACTACCACTTGGCTCGGCCAGGCAATAGACATGGATGAATTAATTGTTCTTCGTATATGTGTTTAGAAGTGTTTTTTGTATATTGGTAGGGGTGAACATTCAGTTTATTCGGTTAAAAACTGAGTTGAATAAATCGAAATTTTAAAAACCGAATTAAAAAAAAATAAAAACCAAAACTGAAATAACCAAAACCAAAATTTTCGGTTAAAACCGAATTTTAATAATATATACTCTATTATATATATTATATATTATATATTACATATAATAATAAAAAGTTTGGTTAATTCGGTTAACCAAAATTCTAATTCCAAAAACCGAAAACTGAAATAATCAAACTGATTTAACCAAAAACCAAAAAAACCGAAACCTAATTTTTGGTTCGGTTATTCGGTTTTAACCGAATAATGCTCACCCCTAGGTATTGGTGAACTTTTCTTTCCTCTGAACTCTAAATGTTGAGAATATTGTTCTGAATTTTGAATTTTGAATTCTGAAAAATGTCAAATATCCAATTTAACCCCATATAAGATAATTTTTATTTATCTATATAATTCAATAATGAAACAATATTAAAAATTATTATAATATATATTACATAATATTAATTATTAATAATTATTAATAACAATTAATTAATAATAAATTAATGACTAATTCATTAATTATTAATCACTAAGTAATAATTAATAATTAATAATTAATTGTTTTTATGATGAATTAATACTTATTATTAATAATTAATATTTATTACTAACAATTAATTAACTATTATTATTGATAATTGATTAATTAATAATAATTAATTATGAATTATTATTATTATTAATTAATTAGTGAAATATTATTACTAATTAACAATTAATTAGTAATTAATACTTTATATTAATAATTAATAATTCATAATCAATTAATAATTAATTCAATAAATATTAATCACTAATTATTAATTAATCAATAATTATTTATTTTATGAATAAATAATACATATTTTTAATTAATCAATTATTAATTTTTGTTTTATTAGTGACTCTCATTCCATAGTTTTTGTTTTACTAGTAAGTGTGCACGTGCTTTGCACGTGGCAGTTTTAGATGATGGTAATGATAGTTGTAATATATCCAAAAATTTCTATAAATTTTATATATTTTATTTTTTGTTTTTATATTTTATATTTTTTATTATTAATTAGATAGAGATTGCAAAATCTAAATCTGGTTACATAAATACATTATACAAATATGTGATAATCAGATCGAGTTGTAAAGTTTCAAGTATCTTTGACGAGCCAACTACTTGGCTATTTTTTTTTGTAGAGTTTTCTCCTTTTTAGTGTATCTTTTTTCTTTTGTTCATTTATAAAAAATTGTAAGATTTAAATAGAGGAAATTGAATGATGTGAAAAAGTAGTAGTTCAATTTACAATTTAAATCTTACAATTGAATAGGGACTAAATTAAAAAATGAGCATTTTTCATATTTTTAATAGTAGTATAAATATAGAATTATAGATGTGTTCAATTTTTTCTACTTTTTTTTTGTATTTTTGTGTGTAAAATAATTCTAATATATCACACTTACTTTTTATCTAATATGATATATATGTGATATTATACATGTGCCTAAATGATTTTTTTTTTTTGCAAAATTTATGTATTTTTTCCTTTTTGTATTTTTATATTTTATTATTTATTTATGATATTAAAAGTTAACACATTTAACACAAAAGTTGAACTATTTATTATTAATTTTTATATTTCATTTTTGGTTAGCTCTAAATTATGTATTTCATTTTCATTATCAATAAAAATAATTATTGTTTATTACACTTGTTTTTTTAATTTAATTAATAAAAATATCATAAGTGTGTCTAATTTTATCTATATTTTTGTAATTTTCTATATTTACTTTTATTTTAAAATTTTATTACCAAACTATGACTTCATAGGTTGATCAATTTGATTCGGATGGTTGAATTGCTTAGCTACCACTTGGATAAAAAATGGTTTTAATTTTTAGTCAGTTTTAAAATATATGGTATTATATTGTTACAAATATTGACATAGATCTAATCAGTAACATTTATTAGTGTAAAATAGCTTCAAACTATATGATTTAATACCTTAAGTATTTAACTTAATGAGAGGGGATTAAATGAGGTGGAAAGTAATAATTGAAGTTACACTTGCAACCCTTACAATTATAGATGAATTAAATACACAGATATATGCATTTTAATAGACATTAAAGCTAACGTTAAGTCTAATAAAATGACTTTTATATCCTTTCTCAAACAAATAAGTAGATGGTGATTTTAGTCCAAAAAAGTTTCATATTGCATCCACACTTTTATATATAGTATAGATTATTACTAATTTCATGATTTTAGATTTTCAACAAAAGATCTATTATAATTCATAGATGATTCTAATCATTTGAATCATTCAATAAAAACAACAAAAAAGCAAATAGCAATGGAAAATATAATTAGTATTTCGTCATAAAAGTTTTTAGTTTAGCCTATTAGTCAACAATTAAGAGAATTTGAGACATGTTATGATATTTTATCGTGAGAGAGATGGGTGCAAATGGATCGGATCATGATCCAATCCGATCCTATTTGGTCAACTTCATATCACCCTTGTTTCGATCTTCGGATTAGATAATATGATCCGATCAGAAATCGGATTGGATTTGGATCACCCCCTATCTAATCCCGATATATATTATATATTTCTAAATATAAATATATATAATACATATATATGTTATTTATTTATTTTGTAAATATATTTTTATACATTTGTTATATTATTTATTTTTTATAAAAAAACATGTATATATATGATGCAAATAATTAAAAAATACTTGTATTTTTGGCTTTTACTTTATTTAAATTAGTATATTTTATTTTTCTTTTAATAATTTATTAATTTTTAAAGAAAATAAGTCGAATCAGATCAAATCCGAAGATCCAACTTACCGTTAGGATTTGAATTCAAATTGAATCCTATCAGGTCTAATCGGATTGGATTCAACATGAATAGTGTCGTATCAAATTCAAATATACCCTGATTCAAATCCGATATGTTCTGTTTGCATCCTAAATGAGAGAGAGGCCAGGTTGGGCCTAACCCCACCTTTAATTAAATTTCGGGTTGGGTTAGGGTTAGGCTATGATTGACCTTAACCTATGTCAGCCCAACTCGCATCCACTGTGCTTTTATCACTATGTGAGAGATATTGTGACTTCCAATTCTACAAACAAGCCTTCAATTTATCAATAACCAACCTCTATCCAACTTGTTTTCATCTTGATGGATCTAAAATAATAACCCAAATATTTCCCACCCCCCTTCATCATTCTCACACCAAGATACCTACAAGTATTAAAAGTACAAATGAAAATGTGATTTTTTATTGACTAAAATGCCCATATTTGTGTATTTTGTCAATATCTAATTATGAGGGTTGTAAACTTAATTTAAGTTATTACTTTTTCACCTCATTTAATCCCCTATCATTAAGTCATATTTTTAAGGTATTAACTCTCATTCTCTTATTAAATCACATATTTAAGTTATTTTTTACTAATAAATGCTATTAATTAGATCTATGTCCAAAACTTTTAGCAATATAATCCTATATCTTAAAATATACTCAAAATCAAAACCATTCTTTATCCAAGTGGTGACTAAGCAATTCAACCATTTGAATCAAATTAAAGTAGTGGCCATACAATGATGGCCATATAGGGGAAGATGCTTTATCTACCAAAAAGATCTTCAAGTCACTTCTCCAAATTAAAGCATACCCCGAAAAAGAGTAAAAACCAATGGTCATGCAATGATAAATTAACTGACAAAAATTGGGTGAAAAACCTCTCATCACCATTCCATACGGTCTTACGCCTTAGAAAGATCGATTTTCAAAACAAATGCACCATATCGTCCTCTTTTTTTTGTAAATGGTTTCCAAAATTTCAGATGCAATAATCCAATTGTCAAGAATTTGTCGGCCTGGAGTAAATGTTGTTTGCATTGGTGAAATCAACCGAGGAAGTAAATTCTTTTATCTTGAAGTGAAAATTTTTGTTACTATTTTATAAGTAACATTAGTGAGTACTCTTAGGGATGTCAATTTCATAGGATTTTTTGGGTATCCAACCCGTTTTGGCCCTAATAGGATCCGTTTATCAAAATCCTATAGGGTTTGGGACGGATTTAAGTTTTGACTTTAGGGTATCCGATACCCAATACCTGGGATGCATAAATATGAACCTATTATATTATATATCATGCACACATTTATAAATTTTAAATACTGAGATAATTATCCTATTATTAATATTATATTTGTATAAATTTCTTGGGATTAAAACCATCATTTGATGTAAATTTGGATTTGATAAATTATTTATTTCATTTAATTATAAAATTCTAATTTTAAATATTTTTTTAATTTTTAATTGAAATTATTAATCATATATATAGATTGATTGATTTGATGAATACAAAAGTTAATAAAATCTATTTTATTTCATTAAATAACAAAAGAAATTTTGTGCATTAATTGATTTGGGTTCAAGTCACACTAAAAGCATAGCTTTTTAGTAGAAAACATTTGGTCAAGCAATTTAACGGGTGGAATGGATTTAAAACGGGATGAATTTGAAAAATTGAAAAGAAAAATTAAAAGGATTTGGAACGGGTTTAAAATCAGGGATAGGGAAATGGGTTGGGCAATTTGGAGGGATACCCTACTCATTGCCATTCCTAAAGTCCAATAGGTCTGAAATCCTTCACAAACTCAGCACCGTGTTTTTTTAGTCTGAGAACTATGTTAGTCCCATTAATGGAATTAATATCCTGAGGGTCTTTGGTCGAGGTACCATCCGGCCCAGGGGCTTTGGTCGATCGGTCCTACTACAAATAGAGCCGCCTCTTCTTCAGTTGTAAGAACAGCACAGGAAATTATTATTGTATAGGGTAACATCACAAGGAGCAAATTCTTGATCAGGAATGCCTGCACACTGGATCTGAAGAGGCAAAAAGATCAAGAAAATAATCTCGAATAGCAGTTTTAATCGTCAAGGGATCAGAAGACCAAATGCCATCTGAATCTTTGAGCCAATAAATACTATTTTTACGGTTCCTGTTGAAAAAACTTACTATTTCTGTCACCGACATGCAACCAGTTACACCGTGCTCTGTCACCAACAGCCTTAAGGAGTCCGAGCGTCAGCGTTTAAGTCTGCGTTGAAGTCTGTGTTTAAGCTGGTGAGAGAACAACGAACCTTTTCATTTCTCCATCCGATTTACTGATCAGATATTGATATAGTGTTATTTTGTTCTTTTATTTAGTTTTTCTCTTGTTAAAAGATCCTGACCATCATCGTATTTAGATCCCCTTCAATGTATCTCTGAAAGTGAAAGTAAGATTTCTCCTGTACCTGATTTTCATTTTCAAATACTRYTGCAAGATTTCTCCTGTACCTGATTTCTTTCAAACACTAATTGCATACCCTATTGACATATTACTGGCTCATGTCTCCTAGACCCATCATCTGTTCACACTGGTTGAAATCTTCTTCATATCATCAATTCGTCCTCAAGTTGATGAGTG